GAGTGTGGTGCTGACAACACCAAGTCAAGGGTTAAGATCCCCTTACCGGTCATCTTTTTAGGGGGGAAAAAAAATCAGTAGTGAAAAAAAGCTTTATTTGTTCTTTGAATTATGTGGATAAACAGTATATTTTTCCCCATTCATAGCTATGATGTCTGTCTTGTTCTCTTTGTGAGAAGATCATCTGTTAGAGTGCTAAAATATTAGCATCTATTTTTTAGAGCCTTTTTAGATGGAAAGAGGATTTTCTTTTCTAAGTATGTAAACCACTTACTACATTAGTAAGATTTTATTTTGTTGGTTAGTGTATGTGTACTTGGAACAGTATCCTTGACCCCTGTACCCATTAGACACCAGTAGGCTTCCTTGCCCCATTGGTTGTGACAACCAAAAACTGTCTACAGACATTGACACGTGTCCTCTGGGAAACAAAAATTGCCCCCTCTTGAGAACCATTGCTTTTAGATTCTTTTCAGGCTTACATAAGACACATAGAAGTGTTACATTAACAAGTGATTAAAAATTTTTAGCAAAAGAGTACTTTTTTTTGAATTTTAGTATTGGTTATGTTGGAAATTTAAAGTTTGTAAAGTGCACAGTCTTATTTGGAGAGTTTAAAAATTCTTATTTGCAGTTTTTAACTACTTTCAACCAATTGTTAGACATAACTCCTCTGGGTGAGCTTGAGGTTAACATTTTCTTTCTTTCTTTTTTTTTTTTTGTCCTTTTTGAGACCGGCCACACTGCGCTCTTCCTTTTTTTCTTTTTTTTTTTTCGTGTCTGGCAACGGATCGCAACCCTCAATGTCGCGCCTGTACCGGACCAGGACCGGCAACGGGATCGCGACCCTCGGTGTTGCGCCCGCACCTCGCTCAGCCAGTGAGCGGGAACTGGTCTGTATGTGGGATCCGAACCCTCAGCGGGAGCGCTACCGCGCTCCCAAGTGCGCCACTGGGCCGGCCCCGAGGTTAACATTTTCGAGGCAGTAAAGCCTGTTCCTTTCTCAGCTTCTGGAAAACCTATGTATTTATGACTATGAGTGGAAATGCTGGCAATGGGCCTGCTTTAGATAGCGTTAGCCAAAAAAGATCCCTTTGGGCCCCACCCTTTCTAAATTTAGGCTTTCATTCAGAGTCTCAGACTCTCAGAGCCACCCAGGGCAGTTGAGTTGCTCCTTCTGGGATGGGAGTGGACTCTGGAGCAGACACTTTGCTTTAGGCTTGTTTTTTGATCTTGTGACCTATGGTTGGTGTTCTGAAGTTGTGAGTAATGTAAGTGATTTTTTTTTGTTGTGAAAAATGCTCTCGGGTCGGCCCGGTGGCGCACTGCTACAGTGCGCCGCTTGGGAGCACAGCGGCGCTCCCGCCGAGGGTTCGGATCCCACATACAGACCGGTTCCCGCTCACTGGCTGAGCGAGGGGCGGGCGCAGCACCGAGGGTTGCGGTCCGTTGCCGGACACAAAAAAAGGAAAAAAAAAATGCTCTCAAGACAGTTCAGCAAGAGCAGGAAAGGGGTAAGGAGTAAGTGAGTAGCGGGGAGGGAGAGAAATATTTCTATTTTGGCAGCTGAAGGAAAAAAAAAAAAAACTAATGAAACAAGGTCATAGATGACTTCTAAATGGCTCTGGACTTGTTTCTTTTTTTTTTTTTTTTTTTTTTTTTTTTTNCCCTCGGACAGGAGCGCTGCCGCGCTTCCCAAGCGGCGCACTATCCAGTGCGCCACCGGGCTGGCCCCTGGACTTGTTTCTTGACACTGTCAACTTGTCTGCTAAGACCATTATTTAGATCTTCAATGGACCTCCTCTGTTATTTTGTTCTGATTCCAAAAGTAAACAATGATAACTGCACTATTTGGGAATTTTTTTGAATAAGGTAATGTTTATGCCTTTGTTATCCAAAGCCATATTTCAGCTGAGTTTCTTTTGAGTTTTGCAGTCCTTTTTGCTCTCAGCAAGAGAGAATGTGCCAGGAGTCCTCAAGTAACTTAATTGCTCTGGTCATTCATCTCTTTCTAGACTTACAGTTTTAAAAATCATTTTGAGACTTTAAAAAAAATTAAAGTAACAAATAATTACTTTGTAATAGAACTTCTAATTAGTAGGTTTGCTGGTTTCTGCTTTGGTTAGCTATCTCCTGAGGGACCTGCCATTTCTGTTCTTCATTGCTACTGGTTATTTTTAAGTACTTTTGACTCCCTTAAAACTTTTTCAGCTTTTTTAAGATGGCCATGAAAATGAGCAGAGCTGTCCTTATTTTTGACTTGTGAAGAAATTTAAATGTATTTAGAAATAATGCCTTTGCTGTCCTCCTAACTTTCAAGAAGTAAATAATCTCCTGTGCTCCCCAACCCCCAGCCACACCAGTAAAATTGCCAGTCTAAAATCTGTTCCTCTCTTCTTCATCTTCTCCACTTTTACTTTTAATAGTACAAATACTATGGAATGGTTTTTGTTATTCAAATCATTTCTCAGGATAGTGAGCCTTGTTTTTTTGTTTGGGATCTGTGATTAAATGAGACCAAAGCAAACCTCTTAGGAAATCAAATACATCTTTTAGTATCATAAGGAAAAAGAAACCGCAGAAGTGAGAGATCCCTCCCTCCCTTTAGTCAACTTAAAGAAAAGCTCTAAGGATGCCAATCCGAGCCTGTGGCCCTTAAATGGAAGCAGTGTTTACATTCACCATTAATGGTGTAAATAACCCAGTTTCTTTTCAATTTCTCATAATTTTGAGATCAGAAACCTTTACCGTATCTCATGTATTATGGAAAACCTTTACATACTTTTAAATTTGCATTTTTGAATGTAAGCTGTAGTGTACAATTCTTAACATTCGGCAACTAATATTATGTCCTACTTATTCTTTTTGTAAAATGAACATATAGAGCACGTGGGTATTAGAAATCATTCTAGAAACACTATGGGAAAGTCACGGGGCCAGGAAACTTACTGTGTACCAAGGGGAAACATATTTCTAATGAATCAACATAGCTACATGCTAGATGGGGCTATTTTCATAACTGAGCAGGTGACACCAATTTTAACTGAACATTGGCAATTACATATCTCCTCTATAATTTACCTTTGTATTTTCTTTCCCTTACAACTTTTAGGTAGAACTTTAGACTTCATAGCACTGAATTAACCTGCACTGAAAGCTGTTTACCTGCAGTTGTTCACTTTTGTTGAAAGTGACCATGTCTCAAGTTCAAGTGCAAGTTCAGAGCCCATCTGCCACTCTCTCAGGGAGCCAAATACTGAACAAGAACCAGTCTCTTCTCTCACAGCCTTTGATGAGTATTCCTTCTACTACTAGCTCTCTGCCCTCTGAAAATGCAGGTAGACCTATTCAAAACTCTGCTTTACCCTCTGCATCTATTACATCCACCAGTGCAGCTGCAGGTAAGCGTATTAATCCAAGTGTCTTCTGTTTCAAATGTTTTCTTAGTCTGTTTTCTGGTCTGATAAGTAGGTTGCAGATGTAGGGAGCTCTCACATTTACCCTTAAGAAGCAGAAGGTTATTATTATTATTTTTTTGTGGCTGGCTGGTATGGGGATCAGAACCCATGACTGAGGTTATAAGACTGAGTCTAACTAGCTGAACTGACTGGCCAGCCTGGAGAAGTAGAAGTGTTACTACCCACGCTTCTTCATCACAGATGTGGAACACTGGTGGTATATGGCCATGACTGAGGTTATAAGACTGAGTCTAACTAGCTGAACTGACTGGCCAGCCTGGGGAAGTAGAAGTGTTACTACCCACGCTTCTTCATCACAGATGTGGAACACTGGTGGTATATGGGGTTAACAGAGACCTCAGTTGACAGACTGTTTGTAAGTTGTAAGAAAGAATTGAAAGCTACTCAGATTGTAAAGCCTAATTTGTTTTTAAGTATTGGCAGGTAGAAAGAATTGAGCAATAAATACCACTTTGGAAATTCATTGTTGTATGACAAATTCTGCTTTTAAAATTATTTCCCTCTGACAAAGAACTCTTGTATGCACAAGCCCCCTTTTTATATGTCTGTAACATTTTTATCCTGAGCAAAGGTACAGTCAGATTTACTAGAAAGCGAAAAAAAAAATACAATTGATTGTTTTAAATATTTAAATATTAAAAAAAAAAAGAAAGCAAAAGAGTGCATTGGCATTTAGTTTTTATTTTGAACAAGTAAGTTTAAGTCTGGGAGGTTCCAGAGGTAGTTCAGAAATCATAGGATTAGAAATTGCATAAAGAAACAGATTTTTAGAAAGGAAATAGGTTTGGAAGCATTTAAACCTGAATATTAGGAAAATTAAAATGAACTAAAGGTAATCATTGATTAGAAAAGACTTGAAACACTTGGAGGGAAAACCTAAAAAACAATATTCTGTTTCCCCCCAACCCAAGTAACAAGACTGGTTAAATAAATGGGGTGTCATTATGGATGTCTCCCTACCAGAGTCACCTTATAACAAATTCTTTTCAACCCCTTCCTTATGCCTGACAATTTCCCTTGCATTTTCTCTCATTTCCTTTACTTTGTAAATCTGTCCTTAGAGTGTTTGCTTCTCCTACCGTCAGCTGTGTGGCATCTTTCACACTACTTCCAGAATTGCTTGGACTGGCTCACCAGATAGCGTTCTTGACTTGTCACAGTCCCCTAGAAATCCACTTGGCTCCAAATTTGCCATGTGAGACTGTCTTAAAAGGAAAGGCACAAAACATTTCAGTCTTATGGGATTTATTGCCTTTTTGTCTAATGTGTTCTTATAGCCAAATCCTATTGACTTTGTAAAAGTCCTACCCATGAAGGCCATTTTATTTTATTTATGTAATTGTCAGAAATAGACAATGTCTGAGGATGGCAGCCTCTGGAGAAAAGACTAGGGGATGCCCCAGGAATGAGAAGTTAGCTGTGTGGAAAATGGAAGTCATCATTTGAGACATGGTATTGACATGTTGAGTTTGGTGAAATAACGAACAGGGTACAGCTGACAACTGTTGCAGTAATCGGTGTGTGTCTGCTCAGAAAACTTCCTGGTTATTTTCTTGGTTGATTATAATAGCAGTGCTTCATCTGATTCCAAATCTTGCTTGCCTGCCGTGGCTTAGTTATTTCCATGACTTCCGTTTTCTCTCTTGAAGACATACCCTTCCTAGGCTTGACTGGTTCAGGAAAGACCCCAGTGTGTCTTCTCTAGGCATGTGCTGCTAGTATGGTTTGAAGTTTTGCATCACTGTTGGTTGTCTAAATCCTTAGACCTTCAGTTTGTTTTCCCTCTATTTTCATATCCCTGGGAGAACAGTAGTCTTATATAGTGCTAGTTGACTTCAATGCTCTTACATTATTTTTCAGTTTCTTCTAACATGGCAAACCCCAAAGAGAAAAGCCCATTGTGTCTTGTGAATGAGTTAGCCCATTTCAGTAAGAGTCAGCCTGAGTATAAGCTTTTGCACGAGCAAGGTCCAGCTCACTGTAAGGTAATATATTGTCTCTACTGCTTGTGTATTTCTAACCCACCAGGAATGTTTTCTGGTTTGTTTTTTGTCAGAAGTGGTGCTGTGATTTAAAATACATATTTTCAAACTGCTGAGGTTGTCTCAAAAGGATACAGATGTATAGATTTTTGAAGAGTTGCCTCTTTTTTTCATCCTTGCAGAATGGGTCAAAGGAAAGATATTTTTCTTTTTGGGATATTTGACTTATAAAACTCCAAATAATGTATGGTCGTTTAGGGTTCTGAATAGAGACAATTCCCAAGCAGCTGTGATTGATTTCCCGTGAGTTTTCCAGGCTCTGAGCCTCCCCCTTTCTGCAGTCCACCTCTGGCTCCTGTCCTTTTTGTTTGCACATGGACCTTAGATTGGTCAGGGAGAGGAGGTCACGGGAAATCAGTTCTGCCACTTGTTAGCAATCTCGGTAAAAGGCTTGAAGATGCAAGGTAGAAATTGGTCTCAAAGTATTTTGGATTGTCTTTGATTTTAGTTACCCTTGCCTTAGAGAGTGGACTGACTACAAATTGAAATTTTGCTGATCGTTATTCAAGAGTTCAGTCTTTTTTTTTTTTTCCTTTTTGTCTTTTTTCGTGTCCGGCAACGGATCGCAACCCTCAGTGTTGCGCCCGGACCGGACCGGGATCGGCAACGGGATCGCAACCCTCGGTGTCGCGCCCGCACCTCGCTCAGCCAGTGAGCGGGAACCGGTCTGTATGTGGGATCCGAACCCTC